TACACTCTTAAAAATTGGGGTAAAAATCCAATACATTTGTGAATTTACACTACAGTATTACATAATAAGTAAAGTAAAATTAAATATTCTTCGTAATAATAAAAATATTTATATTTTACTAAGAAAGTTATGTGTTTTTACTTTATAATCTCAATTTCGGTAAATTTACACCGTGCTATTACCACAGTTAAAAAATTTTACAATAAAAATGTATATTTCATTTGGTTATGTGATTTTACATTAAAGGGTAAGTATATTTACAGAAGATTTAATGTAGAAACAACAGCGCGTCTAGACTAGCAATGATGCAATTGGTCAGACAGACCACGCTGTGTAGTTGTAATAGTGAGTCGTGCGTATATTGTGCGTTATACTTATAATTAGTGATCTTTCTTAAAAAAAAATAAAGGTAAGATATTTAAACTAATTTATAATTTGAATAAATATGTGTGGAAGTAGTTTACTTTGTCATAACATTATTATTAGGTATAAATATTAATGATATGATGAGAAATAACCACTCTGCCTCGACCAGCAATGAATTAGTTCCACAATATTTTACTCACATCTATTTCATTATTGGTTTTTTCTTCATTCTAAGAGTATTAAGCTAATTCTAATCAATTCATATAATATGAAATAGTTCTTTGATAATAACTGATAATAAGCTGGATATGGTAAAGAAATAATTACAATAATCTACGCAAATACACATGCCTGATATAATGAAATTATTAAATAACTTTCCTAATTACAAAATTTACTCTTAAACATTAGTAGGATTATAGTGTAATACCTTTACAATAAAATAAATAGTTTATTTTGTCGTTTAGAACAGGAGTTATGAAACTATGTTTTATTCGTGTTTATTTTATACGAAAAAAGTTCTTTTCCTCGAAAAGATATGGATTACTGTAGGCAACTCTTAATTAAAAAAGCAATGTCTTAATTGTTAACAATTAACGATTTTATTGACTTGATAATGTGTACCAAAAAGTGGCTAGTTAAAATTTAACAATATTAAGAATTCTTACCCATTGATTTGATACTCATATACAGGGTCATTCATTGAGAATGGGCAATCTCTATACTGGATTAACAACAAAGTTGGAATTTTAATTTCAAATTTCTCAATAATTTTTAAATTTTCAGCAGAATCAACTCGAAAATTGGTGATTTTATGTTTTTTGGCACGAGAATTACGAATTTGATGCTGAATTTGCCGCTATTTGTACACGTATTACTCTCTATTACTCTCTGTTACTTCAATAAATCAGAACACATTTTGGTGTGTAGTAACTCCTATTTAGAGATTGTCCATTCTTAATGATATACTTATTCTTAATATTTAAACTAACTTAATACTTTTTTAAGAGGTCTAATTCTAATATGTTTGGGTTAGCTCGGCTGACTTGGAGGTTACATTACATTATATTTTTTGCTTTTTGATTAAATTTAATTTCGCATAACAGATAGTCAAAGTTGTCCACAATAAACATTATTTTAACAAAAACTTTCAGAACTACTTTACTTAAACTTTACTTTACTTAAATTAAATCCAGCGCTACGGAGTTAAATAGCATATCCTACTGGAATTTAATAAATTTATACCTATTAACGAAGTTTAAATTTGAAGTTAACAATAAGTACTTTATTATTTAATATTTATGTACAATAGCATTGCTGTTAGTGACATTTTATGTGAAATGTGTGTATTAAAACTTATTAACTGTTAATTAATAACAAAAGTTTAGCCAGCGCACAGCTCACTTTTGAATTTTTCTGCACAAAATTACATTGATGGGAATTGATTTAAGTTAGTTTGACACCTTTACGAAAAAGTAAAAAAAAGGTATGTATTATAATTTTGTAGTATGAAACTTAAAT